TATCAGCCAGCCTAAACACCTCCTCTGTCAGCCAGGGTCTCTGAGGAGGTGTGGACCATAAACCCAAAGCGGTCAATCCAGCTGCATGAGCCACAGTCCTAAACCTCGCCCATTTCCGCTTGACATCAGGAGGAGGGACGATATGCCAACCCCAGCTGCAAGCGATGATGAAATTCTCGCTTGCAACTTTCATCAGCTAGCCGAGACCAGGTCACTGTGGGTTTGAATGGGATCCTGGGTATACACCCACCACCAGAGTGGAAGAATGGCAGGCGTTTCTTACAGTCGATGGTCAGCGGGTAGATCAGCTCCACGATAGGTCCTGCTGTCAAGGACATGGGCCCGCATCCCCTAATCCATCATTATGTAGTCCAGCAGATGTTCTTGCTTGAACCCGGCATGCATACATGATGTTGTGTGGATACGCCAATGCCGGAACAGCGTGTTGGTAATTACAAGCCCATGGGCTGCACAAAAATCTATCAGCCTCCTACTGTTGTTATTGATCAGATCTGGCCCATGCCTTCCAATCACTCCAGGCCAGGTGCAAGTATCATGACCAACTCGAGCATTGAAGTCACCCAACAAGATGACTCTGTCCGGAAGGGCCACTTTAGCCAGCACCTGTGACAGGAGGTCATAGAAGGCATCTGACTCATCGGCTTTGCCTGCATCCCTACACGAGTGTTCGTCTTCGGTGGGAGCATAAGTAACCACGACCACCACTCCTCGCCTCGGGTTGATGGGAAGGCGAGCCCAAAGTAGCCTGCCGCTTACAGCTTTCCACACCTCACCACTATGCTCCAACTCCCCCATCATTCTTATGTTCAGAAGAAGAGCCACTCCTTGTTGTTTGGCAGTCTCCTGCCTCAAGTAGAGGACTGTCCACCCCTCATGGTGGCAGGAGTCAGAGCTGGTGGTCCACTGGACCTCCTGAATGCCACAGAGTTCCAGGCGGTACCGGTCCCGATCCTAATAGAGGAGTGCAGCCTCTTCTCTGCAGTGAGCGTTCGAACATTCCACGCAGCCATCTGTAGTGGTTTTTTGCCGTTTCTGAAGGAGCTCCGAGGATAAAGATACAGTCTCCTGCTCCGCCAAATGGGGTTTGGCCAGGAGACGTCATGGACGCCTGTCCCCCCGGGACCTCCGGCATAAGGTAAGTTAAGGGGTTACCAGCCCCTCGCACCTGTCCAGAGGCCCCATTTCGCCACTGTGGTGGCTACAAGCGCCATGAGTTGAATGGTCAAATTGTAATCGGCCTTTTCCCCATGCTCACCACAGTATTGCCGTCCGGCACCATCGGAGAGGTGGGCGTAGTTTTGGCGACATACACCCAGACACCCAGACACCCAGACACCCAGACGACAAAGATCCCCCATATAGCCTTAACATACTGTAGGGGCAAGTCCTGTTAGCGAGCAACTATGAAGGCCGGAATGGCACACGAGCGGCTGGATGGCCAGCACCTTAACCAACCACCTTTGTCTCCCCAGTGGCGATGTTTACACACCGCACCAGGTACTCATTTGAGAATGAGTCAACCTAGGGGAGGCCCAGGACCGGTTCAAATAATCGTCACTTTTGTTGGCCGTGAGTGGGATTCGAACCCGGGTCGCCAGGTTCGTAGCGCAGCGCGTTAACCACTACAATACCGCTTCCCACACACACACCCCCCACACACACAGACACACAGACACGCACAGACACACAGACACATGCCGCGTCATGATCTTGTGATTCGATCATTGATGCTTTTCTCATAATTTCACGCGGTAATAATCAAGGTTGTTTTTTCTCTTGGGTTCAATCGCATAGAGGTCTTCGTGGGCTCGACAAGGCTGCTCCATACTTGGAGTCGTGGTGCGTCGCTCTCTCCCCGCGGTCACGTGGATTGTTATCCAGGCGGGGGGGGGGGAGGGGGGAGGGGGAGGGGCGTCCCTCCATTTTATAATGGCCGCTACTGGGCCCACGCGTTTCCACGTGCCAAGCCCCCAGCTGTGTCCGCTGTCTCCGCTAGTGAACGAGGGCTGCCGCACGGTCACCACCAGACACAGCGTCGCTGTAACAATGTTTTTTTTTACATCTTTTTCTGTCAATAAAAGTGGCGTTTGGTGTTAAGATGTTGAAACACCAAACGGAAACCTTACGCAAGGCATCACGTCACTTGTATTCACCACACACATACCTGTGGTGAACTTGAAACAAAAAGCCGAGCTCTGGTAGTCGATGATGTGGTCCCACAGCAACGGAGCAACTCCTCCGGCACCGCCATCTTCTCGCACCCCCTCCACTAAACACACACACACGCACACCCCCACTAAACACACACACGCACACTAAACACACACAACCACGTAGGATCTCAATGGGGGGGGGGGGGGTGCCTGACACCACGGGTTTTTATCCGAAGGGCCCCTAGCAGAGATGTCCCCCGGTTTCCCGTTGCCAGGAGATTGGCCGACCCCCCCCCCCCCCAGGCCGGATTACATGGCGCCCCCACTAAAATCAACTTTAAAAGTCGTAGTCGACCTAGGGGAGGCCCAGGACCGATTCAGATAATCGTCACTGCTGTTGGCCGTGAGCGGGAATCGAACTCGGGTCGCCAGGTTCGTAGTGCAGCGAAGCGCTAACCACTACACTATCTTTCCCCACCACACACACAGACACACCCAGGTACAGACACACAGATGTACAGACACACCCAGGTATAGACACACATATGTACAGCCACCAGAGGTGTGGACTCGAGTCATGTGACTTGGACTCGAGTCAGACTCGAGTCATGAATTTGATGACTTCAGACTCGACTTGGACTTGCATAACAATGACTTTGTCTCACCTCTGACAGCCACACACAGGTTCACACATAACAGGATGTTTATTCGCTCAGATTGTAAAATGAGAAGTGAAAAAAACCTCTTCCCACACGGCCACGTCCACCGTGCAAGTTTACTCACTCCTGAGAAGCGAACAGAGAGAGATCGAGAGACCAGGAGACTGAGACAGAGAGACCAGGAGACTGAGAGAGAGACAGATAGAGAACGACATACACATATAGAGACAGATAGACAGAGACCGACAGACAAACAGAGACAAACAGAGCCAGACAGACAGAGAGAGAGAGACCCTGCAGCTCCAGCGAGGCCGGTGACGCCATGCCCATGGCTCCGTCTCTGAAGGCCGCTTTCACCCTGCTGAAGGTGTGGAAGCTCGCGGTGTGGAACGGCCTCGTCTCGGCCCTCGTGGTCGTGGGCCAGGAGGTGTTCACCAACTACCGGTTCCGGTGCCCCTGCGTCCACGACCTCAACGTCGCCATTGTCGTCGTGGTCTTCGTGGTCCCGCCGCCGTTCTCCTCTACTTGGAGAACACAACGGTTACTCAACAGTTACTCTACACATCGGGTGGTGACCACCGACCTACCCTGGCTAACACACACTCGTCTCTTAGCTACTCCAGCGTGACCCAGCCAGGTGGCTGCTGGTGGTCCGCTCACTGTAGGCCTTCTCTTCTTGGCATCTTCACGAGGCGTCTTCATTCTCCGCAGGAACAGCCACGAACCTCCTGAGGCGGCTGCTTATATGGGCCTCGGCGTGCCCGGGCCTCACCCCGGCCACGCCTCCCTTCGAGCTCCCTCTCGAAGCCCCCCCTGCTGTCCACGTGCCCCCCGAGGTCCCCCTGGACCCCCGGCCCCCACTGGGATCCGGTCACGTGTCCAGCACCGGCCCTGACGTCATTCCCGCCTCAAGCCGGGATGACGTCATGTGTGTGTGTAGACCCACATGGTAGTAAAGTTCCTGGCACAGTGACGTCATACGTGTGCACACAGTAATGGTACCACAATCATTACACATGTATAATAGAGTTTTTTGGGTTAGATCGGGTTTAACGACACATATTTACGCGATCTAACCCAAAACCATATGTTATAAATTAGATCACAGTTTTGTGATGTGCAAAGTGGCATTACCAATTATATTATTCGCTCACCTAGCGATACCATGCAAAGACTGCGTAGATGTTCGATTCATTGTCAGGTCAATTAGAACATTAACATAAATGTCGCAATAGTTGTAGAAGCAGTTGTGACCCAGACCTAATAGTAACTTTTTTCCCACCATGAATAAACAGATTCCTCACAACAATGAAGTTATCCTTAGGACAAAAAGGCATGTCATTCGAATGCATCCTTTGTTAATGCCTCCAACACATGTAATTACTAATAAGATTGAGTTTTCATATAGCACCTGGAGAAAATCCACACACGGGGGTAACAGTCCTTACCATACAGAGGAGAGATGATATAATTCAATATAACATCCACTGCTTCAAAATGTAATTGTTTTTTTATATCTTCAGCACAATCTGATGCGAAGGGGTGGTGGTGCATCAAAATCAGTTCAAGTGATGTCGAAGTGGTCGGAAGACAAACGTTATGAGCAGCTGAACATGAAGCTTCACAGTCTGTTGCCCTATAGCAGCACCCAGTCCTGATGGCGATTGGTGGGCTCCATGTTCCAAAGGCAGACTTCACTCATGCCCCTCGAGACTCGGTCGGACGGTTCCTCGATTCATTTCCAGAATAATTTCTTGAGTTTTCTAATTAGTATAGTGGTGTAGTGTATAGTGGTGTAGTGTATAGTGATGTAGTGTATAGTGGTGTATAATGCAGTGTATTTTAATGTATACGGTAGTGTATAGTGTAGTATATAGTAATGTATAATGTATTATGAATATTGAACTTCTTTGGCACCGTACGTAGCCAACCACGTAAATTGGAAGTGTGCCGGGGAAGGATAACAAACTAAATACAAAAAGCTATTTTAATGAGTTTTTCAATTTAGACCTAAAAGTGCATAGGTCCGGTGGCTTCCGAAGTGCATCTGAAGTGCATGATGCAGTTGTAACGGGTTCCGGAGACACTTGTAGAGGTAACTTCTTTATTACAATCCAACAGTCCAACAGTCAAACTACTCTGTAACAACTCCCAGGTACACAGCCTAGGTACACAGCCAAGGTACACTACTCTGGCTACGCTCTGGAACTCGCCCTCACAAGGTCGTAGAGTCGGGAGTTCCAGAGTCCCACCACTGGCTCTCACAACATCCCAGGGTCCTCAGATGGCTGGTCTTGGGTCTTGGGTCTTGAGCTACGACTGGCCCTGATCGTCCAGGGAGCTCCCTTTTTTATGCCTAGTCCCCAACGAGGGGTGGGGCCGTGTGCACCACCAGATATCCCACAGAGCACACACAGCCCCCCCCCTTTGGCGGCGCCAAGTGGCTTAAGCGCCTGGGCCACCCGGGAACCAAACGCCTGGCGCCAAGAGGCTTAAGCGTCTGCCCTACCTGGGAACCCAGCGCTTGGCGCCAAGAGGCTTAAGCGCCTGGCCCGCCCAGGGTCCCAGAGCCCCCAGCAGCCCCTCCCTTCTTATGTCACTACACAGTGACCACCTTAGTTCGATGGCTAACAAGAACCCGCCACTGCAAGGATCACCTGAGTTTGCATTATGGTTTTCTATCCATAATATGAAGAACACAATATCCGCCCACCTCATAGCAAGGACATGATGGAATGAAAAGCCATTTTCCCAACATGACCATGTTTCATACTGCATTGATGAGGTTCACTTAAATAGGTTCATTTCCAAAAAAGGTATTGAGGCTAAGGTTGTTACTACTTATCTTTGGAGTGATCGTGTGAGTTATATAAGTGACGTTGTTGTTCAATCCACTTTCTCATCATGAGCTCCTGAGGCCTGCCTGCTCAGGCTTCTGAAAAGTCATCGTTCAAAACGATGTCACCCACTGTCAAATGTCCATTTTCTCTTTGTCCTGGGGCTCGATCTGCTTCACACAGAGAAACAACGGTGGGATGTAAGGATCTTTGCAAGGCATATACAATTGCATACAAATCTCGGCCCAACCTACGTGCAGCCATGTACCCATACACTTAAAGATCACTTCCTTTAGCATGAAGTGAAACGTCAGACATAACACCGAACTACAAACATGCAGTACAACTTGCAGTTAGATTTGTGTCCTTCCCCTGCAAGTCCGATTAGCACCGTTAGTTAAGTACGCTGTGAAAGAAGTTCAATATACAGTGAGGGAAAAAAGTATTTGATCCCCTGCTGATTTTGTACGTTTGCCCACTGACAAGAAATGATCAGCATTTTGCTACAAAATATTTCCACGTGATGTGCCACTTCGTTGAGCTTACCTGGAATAGTTTAGTTTAGTAATAGAGTGTTAAGTAAAAATGGTTGAAATTACCTCTGCCAGACTTCTACATCACCTAATTGTTACAAACAATGTGTAGTGTAAGCACGTGCAGGTTGGGAACAGTGGAGTCGTATCGGGACATGCTGCTGTTGCTGGGGGACAACGAGTGAGACGGAGACGGCCCGTTAGGCAATGATGGATGCAGGGCAGTGATTGGCCGGTTGTTGTTGTCAGGGACAAGGTTGCGCCTGTAAGTCTGGGAATGGGAACAGGTGGCGGCGGGGGCCGGGGGCGCGGGGCGTCGGGGGGGGGGGACGCCAGTTAATTAATTGGAAATTAATAGGGACGGGATAAATACGGGAGCGTCAGAGAGAGATGGGCAGTTGTGCTGGGAGCTGGACGGAGACGAAAGGAGCAGAAGAAGAAGATACAAGAAAAAGTGTAGGGTAGATGTGGAGTAGAAGAAGAAGTATAGAGTAGCAGCAGAATAGAAGAAGTATAGGGTAGCAGTAGAGACGGAGACAAGTAAGATATGAGAGGTAGAATAGGGTAGCGGTGGAGCAGTGGAAGAAGAGGTGACGAGAGGACGGATAGGCTAGCAGTGGAACGGGAACGAGAGAGACGGAGTGAGACGGTGAAGCCGAGAGAGAGCGACGGCCGGAGTGAGATGGAGAAGCCGAGAGGGGAGTCGGGAGAAACGGAGAGAGAGAGGGAGGATCGGAGCAAGCAAGGTCGGCGGAGCGTGGCGAGCGAGCAGAGAACGCGCTGGAGAATGGTGACGAAATGTGCTGAGTTTGGTAAAATAAAGTGATGACAGAAAAGAAAGACGTTGTCCGCGTAAAGTTCAGCACTACAAATGTATTAGTGAATACAATATTTGCGGTACATTTTACTACTTGTTTCATTGAGAGACGGGAAAATCCCTGATATTACTGACATTACGTTTATACCATGATGTATATGTTTTGTGCCACCTACCGACTCCATAGTCTAACTGGGCGACTTCATTGTTCACGTGGGAAATGATGGCGATACCTGGAGAGGCGTGATTGTGAGGATTGGCCCCCCTGATTTGAACCCAAAAGGTGAGATGTTATTGGAATTGTGTGCAAGTCACGGAATGTCAATAACAACACCATGTTCGAACCCAAGGATGTTCATAAGTGTACTTGGTACCAGAGAACCTTGGGCCAAATGTCAATGATTAACTTCATAGATGTATCATCGGACCCAAGGCCGTATATTCTGGACACTCAGCTGAAGAGAGGGGCAGAGCTGTCAACTGATCACCACTTGGTGGTAAGTTGGATCCGACGCTTGGGGCACTGACCAGATAGACGTGGAAGGCCCAAACGAACAGTACAGGTTTTCTGGGAATATCTGGCGGAAGACCCAGTGCAAAAAAATTCACCTTCCACCTCCAGGAGAAATTCTTCTGAACTCGTGGGAAGGTCGGGGACATTGATTCCCAATGGACGATGTTCAGGACCTCGATTGTGGATGCAGCTGCGAAAAGCTGTGCCCTGAAGGCAGTTGGTGCCTGTCATGGCGGCAATCCTAGAACCCGCTGGTGGACACCAGTGGTCACTGAAGTGAAAGCTCGGGCCTTGGGAAGAGTTTGGAAAGGCCATGGAGAGGGACTCCCGGATAGTCTCAAACATATTCTAGGAGGGGTCGATGGGACGTGGCCCAGGCTGTTTTCAGTAAGGGTGGCATAATCCTGACCTCAACTAAGAAGATAGTCGAGAGGTGGAAGGAAAACTGAGGAGCTCTTCAACCTGGTGGACATGCGCTCCGCTCAGGAGGCAGCCCTGGAAACAGCTGGGGGGGTCAGATCCATCACGGATGCTGAAGTCGCTGCGACGGTCAAGGGCCTTCATAGCGGCAAAGCTGCTGGGGTGGACGAGATTCGACGAGAGTTGTTGAAAGCGCTGGGCAGTGTAGGGGTGTCGTGGTTAACACGCCTCATCAATGTTGCATGGAAGGCGGGTACAGTACCTCTGGATTAGAAAACTGGGGTCGTGGTTTCTTTTTTTTTAAAAGGGGACCAGAGGGTGCGCTCCAACTACAGAGGAATTACACTCCTCAGCGTCCCAGGTAAAGCTTAAACCAGAGTGATGGAGAGGAGGCCCCGCCCAGTGGTTGGCCCTCAGATTTAGGAGGACAATGTGGATTCCGTCATGGTCATGGAACAATGGACCAACTCTTTTCCCTCTCACATATATTTGGGGGGTCATGGGAGTACGCTTTTTCAGTCTACCTGTGCTTTGTAGACTTGGATAAAGCATATGACTGGGTCTCCTGCAATGGTTTGTGAGAAGTGCTGTGGGAGTATGATGTACCAGTGCTGCTTTTGTGCTCTATCTGGTCACTCTATTCTTGGAGTAGAGCTATGTCTGTATGATTGGTGTTCAATGAAAAGTCGTTCACTGTGGGTGTTGGACTCTGCCGAGGGTACATCTTGTTTCCACTCCTGTTCGTGTTCATGGACAGGATGTCAACGCGCAACTGAGAGCGGAGGCCGTCGGACTGCGAGAAGGGCTGCGTGCAGAACGAGAGAGAGCGAGAGAGTGATCGAGAGAGAGAGTGATCGAGAGAGAGAGAGCGAGAGAGTGAGCGAGAGGTGGGGGTTTACATAAAGCAAAGTTTAAAAATGTAAAAAAAAATTACGAAATGATGAACGAAGCAAAGTGCCGACTACACCGTGCATCTTCTGGTTTCCACTGATCGTAAAAAAAAGAGATTATCCAGTAAGGGGGGATGGAGGTGGCGTCACTGCTATTTGCATATGACGTTGTCCTCTTTGACTCGTCAGTCTGTCATCTCCAGCATGCTTCTTGAACAGTTTTATGCCGAGTGTGAAGCGGCTGGGACGAGGATCAGCACCTCCAAACCTGAGGTAATGGTTTACTCCTGGGAGACGGTGGATTGTTCTCTCCAAGTGAGGGGGGAACAGCTTCCGTTAGAGAAGGAGTTTAATTACCTCTGGGTCTCTTTAGTGAGTGATGGTAAGTGGGAGCGGGAGATCGGCCGACGGATTGGTGCGGAGTCCGCAGTGTTGCGGGCACTGTACCGTTCCATGGTAGTGAAGTGGGAGCTGAGTTTTCGAACAAAGCTCGCAGTTTACAAGTCAATCTACATTTCCACTCTCACCTATGGTCATGAGCTTTGGGTAATGACCGAAAGGATGAGATTGTGGGTACAAGGGGCCAAAATGAGGTTTCTCTGCAGGGTCGCCGGGCTCACTCTCCATGATCGGGTGAGGAGGTAATCCAGGAGAGCCTCGGAGTCGAGCGGCTGCTCCTGCGGATCGAGAGCAGCCAGTTGAGGTGGTTTGGGTACCTGGTCACGATGCCCCCCGGTAGACTCCCCCTGCAACTTTACTGGGCACATCCCACTTGGAGAAGACCCCAGGGCCAGCCCAGGACATGTTGGCAGGACTATGTCGCCCAGCTGGCCTGGGAATGTCTGGGAATTCCCCAGGAAGAGCTAGAGTATGTTGCCAGAGAAAGGGAGGTCTGGACTGCCCTACTAAATATGTTTCCACTGTAACCCTCACCAGGACAAGTGGACTGAGAAATGAACGAAAGAACGAAGAGTATACTGATTTCATTAGTATTATACTAGTAGTATACTAATACTAATAGTGTAATAATAGTAGTGAACACATTTTTTATTATTATTAAATGTTATATTAACAACTACACCAGCACTCCCCTGCACTACAAACAAAGACAAAGATCCCCCGTATACCCTCAACAGACTGGAGGGGCAAGTGCTGTTAGCGAGTGCCTATGAAGGTTGGCACGACACATGATGCGGTTGGCGGCCATCACCACGCCCAGCCGCCTTGGAATCCCCAGTGGTGATGTTTATGACACACCGCACAAACACACCACCTTCACACAAGGAAGCCGAGCACTGCTCCGTGTCGGTGAATGAGTGAGTCTGAGTGTGGCTCCTGCTTCGTACCTCTCTCTTCCTCTCTCTCAGCTGCGCCGCCTCCTTCAGCTGGTGCCATTGGCTGCAGTTCGTGATCCCTGTTGAGAAAGCATTGGACGCGCGTCCATCACACATCCTCACCCTCACCAACATGTAGCCTGTGTCACCGTATGTATGTTGAAGTTATTTTGCACCGTGTATAGACAACCATGCGTGCTAATGAGAAGTGTACGGGGGAAGGACAACAAACTAAACACAAAAAGCATTTCTAAAGAAATTCGTTTTCAATCTAGATGATTTTAAAGTGCAAAGCTCAGTGGCTTGCTAATATCGGAAGGAAGAGCATTCCAGACAGACGCAGAAGCTCATCTAAAAGCGTGCGATGCATTAACCTTCTTTGTGCAATAGCTAGTCAAAATTGTAGGGCATGGTGTAGTGTATGGTAGTGTACTGTATGAGTGTAGCGTATAGTAGCATACTGTACAGTAGTGTATAGTAGTGGAGTGTATAGTGTAGTGTATAGTGTAGTGTATAGTAGTGGAGTCTATAGTGGTGTCCTATATCGTAGTGTAATGTATAAATCATTCAAAAGCGCACGACGAATTGAACTTTGTTCGATGGCCAGCCAAAAGCGGCCACGAGTTGATGGTCTCAGCTCCGGCCACCAAATGATTGCACAAGAAACCACGGTTATTGAATTTGGTTCTCCACTTAATCTCAAGTAACGATCTCTGCTGTGTGGGCCAAAGGTCGATTAATGGGATCTGAAAAAGGTGGCCATGGTGCTACCCGCTTACATAGATGTTAAAATTACATTATTTTGTATTGTACCAGGTAAGTTCTACCGAGATATGTAGATATTTTTCAGACGTCATCTGGCCATCACAAATTATAGCTCCACGAAGTAGCTTATCATTACGTGGAAATGTAGAGCTGCCAAATACTCTAAACCACGTTGATTATAAATGTGGGGGGAAAACCAGAGGACCCGGAGAAAAATCAACTTGACCACGGGGAGAGACAGAGAAAGACACACAGACTCCAAATATACAGCAGCAGGCATCAGGGTCGGGATCAAGCTCACGACCTCCTGTATAGCAGGCGAGGGAAATAACATATCCTGGCCACCGTGATGATGAGAGAGATAAGCAAATTCCAAATATATAACATGCGTCAGGGTTGAGATCGAACCCATGACCTGCATACCAGGCGAGGTAGTGAACATCTCACCACCACAGCAGTCTTGAGTTCTCTAGCATCATTCTTTAGCATGAAGGGTCGCACTGCTCTGTGAAAAATCTGATAAGAGTGTTGGTCTCAGGATATGAGGCTGATCGGAGAAGCAGTATGTATGTATGTACGTTGAACTTATTTAGCATCGTCGGAGGTTGGACAGCACCTTCGGCTAGCACGGTAGGCTACGCACATTGAGAAATAAGTTCAACACACATGCATACATCGGGATGAAGGAAAAACGTAAGAAAATAATACCCTGGGAAAAGAGACAGAGAGAACAAGGCGAGAAAGATGAAGACACGAAAGACTTGGGCTCTCAGTGGTGCCGACCCGGGGGTCTCCGTCACGGCCACTATGAGCCACGTGTCACTACTCACAGTGCCCATCACAGTGCAGGTGGCAGTCAGTACGGGGCGTATCGAGTGAGAAAACTGCTCGGTAGGCAAAAAAACTTGTTAAGTGATCGTCGTTTTCTCATCGACTCCTTCCCCCCACGCCCACCCGTGTTAAAATCTGAGATGTAAGTTTTAGCACTACACCTTGCCGCTACAGGACACACGTCGATCAATCGATTGGTCTCGCCATGCGAAACATTTTTTGCTCGTTTTGTGGGTGGCAACAAAATGTATAAAAAAATCTAATTGTCCGTTATCGCTAATCCTCATGGAAAGAACGTTAATTAAAACGAGTTAACGCCATTTCACTCACTCGACGTCTTCTCCTTGTGGTCTGTCACCTCTTGACTTCCAGCAGAAGTAAACACCAATTGCAGCAGCAACTACAACCACAGCAGCAATGCTGACCAGAGCAATGCCTCCAGCAGTCAGCCCTCCAGGTGTTGGTGTTGTGGTTGGAGTTGTGGTCGGAGTTGTGATTGTTGAAGGAACTGGATTTAATGAGCACGCATCCACAGGCATGAACAACATGACAGAGATTAAAGATCAAAGATCCCCTGTATAGCTTTAACAGACTGTTGGGTGCAAGTGCCATTAGCGAGTAGCAGCACCTATGAAGGCCGTAACGGCCAGCACCACGACTAGCCACCTGTGGCGATGTTTAGATACTCATTTGAGGCTGAGTCGACCTAGGGAATGCCCAGGACCGGTTCAGATAATCGTTACCGGTGTTGGTCCTGAGCAGGGAATCGAATTCGGGTCGCCAGATTCGTAGCACAGCGTGCTAACTGCTACAAAATCCCCCGTATAGCCTTAACAGACTGTTGAGGAAAGTGCTGTTAGCGAGCACCTATAAAGGCCGGCATGGCATACGAAGGAGTGGGTGGCCAGCACCATGCCCGGCCGCCTTTGTCTCCCAGAGTCGATATTTACACATTGCACCATGTATTTATTTGAGGCTCAGTCAACCTAGGGGAGGCCCATGACCGGGTTAAATAATTGTCACTGGTGTTGGTCGGAAGTGGGAATTGAACTCCAGCCAACGGCTCTGGAGCTCAGCGTAGCGCTAACCGCTGAGCAACTTCCTCCTCTGAATTTGAATTCACAAACAGAAGACACCACACGCACACTCCCGTATTCGCAACATGTACACGCACATACACGTGGTTCACACAAACACGTGGTTCACACCTATGTGCTGCCGCGAGTTCAATTGCCTACCATGGCTAACATCAGTGGCAAGTGACATCTAATAATTACATTTTCTGTAGTGTCATTCATGCTAATTGCAACTCTAAACTATAAAAACTGAACTTAAATTGTTTACCAAGTCGCGGCAACTGAGCTGTATATCTATTTTTCAGAACGCACCTGGCCACAAATAAAGGAGCTTATCGTGGGACTTCAAAGCAGTCAAATACTCTAAACTCGTGACGTTGATTATAAATGTAGAGGGAAAACCCGGATGACCAGGAGCAAAATGCACATGGCCACGGGAAAGAGACACGCAAACTCCAAATATACAGCAGGCATAAGGGTCTGGATCTAACCCACGACCTCCTGTATAGCAGGCGAGGTAGTTAACATTTTAAAGTTTTTGGCTGCTATACAATTCCACGTGAGAAGCCACTTTCGTTGAGCCATCATTTGTGATCGCCATGGTTGCTTCCGAAAAAAAGAGCTACAAGGCTCAGTAGGGTCTTACCTGGTAAATTATAAATAGTTTATTTTTAAATCGTAACTTCTCAACTAAGCCAGGACACCTTCACAGGAGTGTCATAAGGTTACGACTCATTTAGACCAATCAGTCAAATGTCCAAAATGCGCCGTCCTATTTATCAGCATACACCTGGATGAATAAAAAGGCCTTAGGATTTAATTAATAATAGTAATGCATGTTGAACTTCTTTCACACTCTACATAGACAACCATACTAATTGGAGAAGCGGGAGGACAACAAACTAATTACAAAAAGCAGCTTGATTACGTAAGGTGCAAAATAAGTTCAATATACGTACACAGAAAGGTTGGTTACGTACTATGCGAAAGAAGTTCAACATGCAAACGTGCATAGCACGGTTGGTTATGTATGGTGCGAATAAAGTTAAACATACATACGTACCTAACACAGTTAGCTACGTACGGTGTGAAATAAGTTCAACATACATACAGAGCATGGTTAGCTCTGTACCATGTGAAAGAAGTTCACACAGAACCAGTCAAGGCCTCGCATTTGCAGTAAACCTGCATAGGTGGGGCATATGTGACAATCCGAATGGTGGTTGAGCTGCTAGACAAATAATGATGTTGACATACATGGGACTTTTTTGGCAGTTATCAAAAATTATTAAATATAACAATAGGTTTTTCCCTTTTAGGCAAAAAAATAACAGGTCTTCAAACACCAAATAGATACCTTTTGCAAGAAATCAAGTCTGCATTAACCACGCATATTTATGGAAAAATATGCAAAAAAAACATGCTTTGATAATAATGTATGTGTAGTGACTTTGAATGTCACTGTGTGGTGCCGGGCTTGCGAGGCCACGGCGGATGTTGTATTGTCATTATGTGTGGCCCGGTTGCTGCTGGGCGTAGTACCAGCCCAAGCGGGGCTTGGGTGAGCGCTGGTTAGCGTGGAGGCACCGCGTACAGTGTGCGGTGCGGGCTCGAGCGAGAGAGTCAGCCAGCCAGGGTTACGTTGGGGCATGATACGCTGACCTGCTGACACGTGACCAGATGATATTGAAGGGGGGCCACCGGTGGATGGGGGCCGCTAGGCGATCATGTGGTATAGAGCAGCTCTTGGGAGCCTTCGGGAAAAAGCTCAAAAGATCTAGAAGGTGGGCGGGGCGTGGAGCGGAGCCAGCCCCAGCCTGGGCCGATATAACGGGGACCCGTTTGGGGCTCGGGGTTCTTCGGGTTGTTGTTGAAGAAGATCCACGTCGGGGTGAAAAAGATCCACGTCGGGGTGAAGAAGCCTCTAGCCACGCGGTCCGGGACCCAGCACGTGGTCCGGACCGGCATAGCGGGACCATGCCTTGTTCTGCCGTAGTGTGGTTAGATGGGCGTTCAACACCCAAGTGTAGGTTATGTTATGTTGTGTTGAGTTGATGTAATAAATAGTGTTGCTCCCAAGACAACGTCTGCGACTCAGTTGGACTAACTACAACTGGTGTTGGAAGTGGCCAACTTGCTAAGCTGTAGCTAGCGTTTGACAAGTCATATATACTCGTCGCAAAGTTCATGTACGGGGCAATGGATGACGAAGACGACGAGGAGCTGATTCCGCCCATTGCTGTCGAAGAAGAAGCGGAGGCGCTGCCAGCGGAGCAGAGCACAGTCAGGGCGCGCGGCGCCTCACCTTCATTGTAGGCGCTCGTCAGGGACGCACACAGTCGTCTTGCTGACCTCCTTCAAGCAGCATTCTCGATCCTCGTCGAGATGCGTTCCCTGTCCTGACGGCAAAGGAGGGAGTGGTGGAGCTGTCTGAACGGGGCGACTTGGCCGCCATTTCACAGAAGGCAGGAACGCCGTCAACGCTGCCTGTGCTCGCGGGCGCCAATTTGCCACCATGCAGAGCGCTAAGCTCGCCAAGCTTGAAGCAGGGACGTCCTCGTCGATTGATATCCAGCCGCTCTGCCGTCGACTGCCCTTCATTAAATAATTTTTTGCCGCCAGCGGAGACTGGGTGGCGTTTAAGCGGTGATTCCTCACCAATGCCGTCTTGGCAGGAGGGAAAGCGCTGCCCGCCGCCCTCGATGATGACACCTTGGCAGCGTTCCTCGCCAATCCACCGTCAGAGAGGTCCACCCTCACGCAGGCGTTTGACCAGATGGCCGCTGTTTTAGAGCCTCCGCTGATCACCCACCAGAAGTTCACCGTAAGACGCAAAGGGGATGGTGAGTCGGCTCTCGCTTTCCGCAGTCCGCTCTTGGTGCTGGTGAAGGCCGCGTTCCCGAAAATGGATCACGACAGCCTTGACGCCTTGGTCCTTGAGAAGATGTTGGGACTCAAAGACCTCCATACTGTGCTCCCCACTGAGGACGGAGAGGTGTCTTTGCTCAAGATCGCAAGGTGCATACAGGCGCAGCAGACCCTGCAACATGACAGGGTGGCGTGTGCTCTGCGTCTTCCACGGATCCCGGGGCCCACACAGACGAGGAGCCTGCTCCTGCATGCTCGCTGCACCAGCACAGCGGCATTTGTTGGGGTGATGGCAATTGGCGGCGGGATGACTGGTGGCAGGCAAGGTCTGCATCATCCCAGTCCAGCAGTGGACAGGTCGCCTGCTACAACTGCGGCCTGCCGGGGCAGGTCCAATCGGGCTGCCGGGATCCTCGATGGCGGCCCCCGGGACGTCCACCTTCCTACGACTCCCTGCCTTCCTAAGGCGAGTTGCGGCACACCCCACACTTGGCCCTGGGGTTCACTTCACCCATCGATGCAAAACGGGGGTCCGATCTGCATCAGTGTTGCGCGCGGGTTCGGGGGGAGTCGACAGATGTTCGCGACGCGTGGCCGCTCCGACCGGATCAGTGGTCAGAGCTGGCACATCGAGTGGTTATGGCGGCTGTGGGGGTGTCGGCTGTGCTTGGGTTCATTGAGGGAGTTAAAATTCGCATGCTAGTTGACACCGGCGCGTCTTCAACCATTATTTCCGACCTCATTTACAATATTTTGTCCCCCCAGTGTCGGGTTTGAGCCAGTGGATGCTCCGTGTTTCACCGCCAACAGCGGATCGTTGGGGATAATCGGTCGGATAACTGTTGAGTTGTGCATTGCCGATGTCACATTGTCACGCCATGTTTTGGTTTCTATGGCCCTAGCTGTTCCGTGCTTACAGGGGACTGATTTCCTCGGCAAAATGCCCCTGAAGATTTGTATCGACCAGGGCTTTTTGGAATTGCCGTCAGGACAGCGCATGGCATTTCTCTCGTCTCCGACCCACATGTATTCTGCTAACGCCATGGTGCAAGCGCTTGCATGCCGATCAGTGCGGATTCCGACCGGAACGCAAATGTTGGTGCCCCTTCGATTGCGTTAACCGCTCGATGTGCACGCTTAGGGGGATGGTATTGTGTTTGGTCCCTCAAATAAGCTCAGTCGGGGGATGTCACTCGTCGCGACTCAGACGCTGGTGTCCCGGGACCAGGAACCATTCATACAAGTCCTTAATGCTAGGTCAGACACGAACGGTCATTCAGGAGGGTTCCGTGATTGCGCATGCATCCCTGGCGTGTCCAGAAAAGGATGTTGTGGTAAATGTCGGGGTCGGCGTTCGGGCTCACAGACCTCAGGATGTGGATGAGATGAGGGCTGGATGAATGGACTGTGCTCTGAATGCGGCGATTAATCTGCGGGACAAATGGGGAAGCTGAGAGCGCTCCTGCCGGAGCGCTCTCAGTAAATTTTATGTCGCTCGCACGTCCATTTTGAGCCACCATATTGAATCTGGAAACACCGTCCCCATTCGGCAGAATCCTTACCG